AGCTACTCGAGAAAGCGTCGAGGACAGACCTGGATTCCCACTTTCCTTTCCCTCGCTCGTCTCGTTCCTCCTCCGCGACGGCAGGACTATGTCTACCACCAGGAGGACGAGGGCGGGCGCCCCGTCCTCGACCTGGGCCACGTGGTGCACTCGTTGAACCGGTTGGACAGCGGCGACCCCGAGAAAATCCTTCTCATGTCCAGGGACGGACATACGATGATCATCGTCTCCTTCCAAGACGTGAAACGCTGCCTGGAGGCGGCCTGGCTCGAGTATTGCGAGATAGCCAACCCCGCCGCCGCGACGCCGGAGCTTGGGCACCTGGTTGGGTCAGAGCACGAGGTGCCGCCTCAACTGGTCCCTGCATATATGATGGGCGATATCGGGGTAGGAAGGGGGGGGAGAGATGCGGGGTATCCCCATCCTCATCAGCAGCAGCAGGAGGCGATGATGATTATGATGCAACAGGGTCTCGGCGGGGGTACTACTGGATATGTGCCATCATAGCGGGGCGGGAGGAAAGAAAAGAAGGACGGGGACGAAGGAAAGCGAAAGCGACAACTGTACATGGGCCTGTGCTTTACTTCTTCTGTACGTGTCCAGGGTATAAGGGCAGGACAACCTGCCTAACTCTGATGTGTGCGGGTTCTGCTTACTCTATCGGTGCCGAGAAAGTAGCAAATTCTTCTCAATGGACGTGGCTTGGCCTGTCTTACCGTCTCTCGAGTCCTTTCATTGCTTCTACCTCCTTTTTTACCCTCCCTTGGCTGAAGACTACGCGTTCCTGCCCACCGCCTTATGTCATCTTTTCGAGCATCACCTGCCTCTGTACCTCTGTGTTCGACCCGCCTCCCTTTGACACTGTGCAAGCCTCCCCATCTTTTCCACGTTCCTAACCCGTCCTCCTCCCTTCCTCCCTACTCGCCCAGCCCGTCCAAGAACTCTGTGAGACATTCCGCTGTCGCCCTTTCGATGGGACACTCTTTCAGCAGCTGATCCCTCCCCGCGCCAGCCAACGCATTCATCTGCCCGTACACAGCCAGGACTCGCCATAGCTCTTTCTCGTCGTTCAATCGAAGGCAATTAAGGAAGAGCTCACGACCAACGTCTTCGGCCGCCTCGCTCGACGTGGCACCTGAAAGCAACGAGGCATAGTATCGGTTTTGTGCCTGTCGCTTTGCGTCATCGCCGAGGAGAGAAATGGCCTCACAGACTCCTCGGCAAGCATCGTCGAGGTCGCTGGCAAGGAGAAAGGAGAGGCGGCCGTTGAGGGGGGCTTGTTCTTGCAGCGCGAACCAGTTGGATGGAGTTTTGTCGCGCGTGGGAGAAATAAAGACGGCGATGGGGTGTTGCGAGCTCTTGGCTTGGAAATTAGAAAGACGGATTACCGTCTGGATATGGATGAAAAAAGACAGAAAATGAGGACGTGAATGGGTGCTAAACGAGTCATACGTGCACAGCGCAGTGCATGCATGATGCCTGCTCAGATAACAGGCTTCACGTACTTTTGCAAAGAGTGAGGGATTGTTCATTTCATTTAAAGTGAGCAGTAGCAGAGATAAGGTCCGATTGCGGCATGATACGCTGTGTTTTTGTGATGTTTAGAGTCTCTTGAAAGGGCAATGCAGACTCAAGTAATGGTCGTACGGAAGCACGTACACTGCATCCGATGTTTCGAGGTTCGTGAACTTCACGAGGTCGGCGTGACGCTTCAATTTTTGCAAAAGGCCGTGATTTTGCTTGTCAGAATGTAGTAAGAGGATGACTTTAGGTTTTGGAATTTGCTGTTCAGGCTGCTGACGAGGGCCCTGGGAAGTGGGCGGCAACGAGGGGCGTAGAGCGTCGTTGGAAAAAGATAGCGAGGAGGACATGAAGAGTCTCGAAAACCTATCGTTGTGGATTATTTAAGCCTATTTAATCAGCCCTATCAACGACAACGTGGCGTCGGCGGGAAATTGCGAAATAGAATGTGATTGAGCCATTCCTCTTACCTCCTCCCTGACCTCGGACGATGTGAAGGGAAAGAGATGGCGAGATGATGACCACCTAAAGCAATAACAAACGTGCACGAACAACTCATGCGGCACATCTCAAACATCAAAAAGTATTATTGTCCTGATTACGCCTTACTGACCGCTTAGCATCCGGTTCTGAAACGGACATATCAAGAGGCAGCTCGCCTCCTCGATCATCATCAAGGGAACTACGCACCAGCCGAACAAGGCTCCGTGGTACCTTGGCTGATTATGTGGGAACTTCTGCGTGAGTTGTGTACGAATGGGTCACCAGTTCTATGGTACTATCTTTGGCGCACTGAGGGGCTGAGTTGCGTTTCGGGCGCAATTTAAGAGGGGTTTACGTCGCTTCGACGTCCAAAGGCAAGCAAGCACCCCGGTTTGTACTACACTTGTAGCAGCCCACCTGGACATCTCTTCTAGCGGCTGGTGGGACGGATCGGTAGTGGTGGGACCGTGTTAAGCACGAATGTTTAGTATACCCAGTAAACAAGCATACTCCTCAGCCATATGCTTAGTTGTACGTCATTCGGGCGCCTCTGGTCGCATGGTTTGATTTTGCTGGTCCCTGGTATCAATCAGACCTGGGGCGGCCAAATATCCATTCTGTCCCACACAGTCAAGCTTTACCAATACCTTCCCAAAATCTTTCCACAACATAAAAGGCCCGGTAGATACAGAAGGAGCACACGAAGGAGGCACACTATGCAGTTCAGCCCCCTCCGTCCCAGCAGATCGCTGGTGACACTCTGTCTGACTCTTGGCTTTATGTACCTGGTACGTACAGAGCGAGAAGGAGATGGTGTGTGCAATTTATGCTGTGGCGCACGTGAAGTGCCTGATAAAGAGCGCGTCGATAAGGATGGTGTTGGGGGTAGCAAGGAAGAGATTCATGTCCCCTTGCGATCTGCAGGTGGTTGGTCGTCGTGTCCTGTTGTTTGCTGATCATCTGACCTTTTGAGTCGAAAGGCTACCAGGGGAGGAGAAACCCCAGGGTCTCTCGCCTGTGCCACTTGTATGGCTTCTGCTGGCATTTGAGCCTAGTGTCCACCGCTAGGCCCATAAGGCCTGATACCTCTGCCTTCCGCGGGTGTGGCTGCCACTTTTGAGGGAGACGCAGGATCCTTGCATGTTCCTGGGCCCCGACCACGCGCTTCGATGCCTCACTCTCACTATTCTCCCGTCCCCTCTCTCCCCTTGTCATACCTCCCCGGCATAGGTCACGGCCTTCCACGCGCCTTTTCTCCCCACCCACGTCAGTCGTTCCTCCTTGTCCATGCCATCCCCAATAAGATGCTACAGCACACGTCCCCCGTCCCCCCGCCCTCCTGGAAATGGCGGCGGACCGAGCCGGCCCCCATTTCGCCCGAATTCTCCCCGACCGAGTGGGGGTGGCCGCAACCGTTGGGGCCCGCCTGAGGTTGACCCGAACAAGCCGCCGATGAACGACGCCTTGCTGCGCATGGCGCCCGGGAATGTGCGGGTGGTGATTTCGAACCCGGAGGACGGGGACGAGATGGCGGGGGTGATGGCGACCACGGAGGCGCTGGCCAAAGCGAAGGAGATGGGCTTGGACCTGATCATGATCAGTGAGACGGCTGACCCGCCCGTGGTCAAGATTATCGACTACGGGAAGTTCAAGTACTCGTTGGAGAAGAAGAAGAAGGAGCAGAAGAAGAAGGCGAAGACGACGGAGGTAAAGGAGGTGAAAATGTCCTACAAGATCGAGAACCACGACTACGGCGTGAGGATGAAGCAAATGACCCGCTTCCTGGACGAGGGGGACAAGGTCAAGGTGATGATTCAGTTTCGAGGGCGGGAGCAGCAACACATAGATTTGGGTCACGAACTTTTGGGCAAGGTGGGGGGAGACCTGAAGGAGTTGGCGGTGCAGGAAGGGGTCGTGAGGAGGGAGGGTGGACGGTTGATTGCCCTGTTTAAGCCAAAGAAGACGGTGTAAATGGAGGGAAGTGGAGGAGGACGGGGGAGCGAGGGGGGG